GAGCAGTGCCCTTAACTCTCCTCTGCTCAGCATTTCTGCTCTCACCAGTGACACTCACCCTCTGCACAGTCACTGACCTCTCCACCTGCTTGTGTTCTGACTTTATCCCTAGCAGACAGGTGCTCCCTGGCTGTTACTCCAAACATCCCTGAGGCTGAGCTCCTAATAAATTCTGCATGCTGAATTCTGCAATGAAACTCCTGTGGGAGAAGGTGATTGGTGTTAAGGATGCTGTTACATATTTTAGCACTCCAACTTGCACAGCTCCATGTAGATTTACATAAGATCCACGTACAGTCACTAGTTGAATGAGAACAGATGTCCCCTTTGGAGATGGTGTGAGTGTTTGCCTCCTCTCACTCTTTTGCACTCACACGCACAAATGCAAAATCAATGAAAGAGAAGTTGCAACCCAAAGTAAGAAAAAGTTTAAAGTTACATACTGCACTGCTACAATTGGCAAACCAGCTTATCAAGGCTACAGTTTCCAGCAAATCACTAATGTTACAAGCCAAAAAGGGTCCTTCTGGAGCACCTGCCAGGTGCTCAGGAAAAAAAATAAAACATTCTTCCACCCTGCACTATCCTTCCCACCTTATCCCACAGGAGAAGCTTGCAAGGAGCTTCCAGCCTGCTTACTAGTTTTTGTTACGAGATCTGAAAGCAAGCTGCCTGCCACTGAACTGCTGTAGAGAAGTCAAACAGCAATTTTAATCTGAACACAGTGCAGTGTTTAGTGCTGGAACTGTGCCTACATCCTGGCAGGACGAAAACCCCCTGACCATGGGTCCTGCTCCATTTATCAGTACCAAGACACACATCCAAGACTTGTCACAGACGAGGGCCAGCAAGGACACCCAGCAGAGCACTGACAACAGGAGCTGTTCCTGCTCTGTACCTCATCACCTCCTGCAAGAGGGAAAGAGGAGCTGACAGCAGGCCACAGTGTACCCTCCTTCCCTCCCAAATGGCGCTCACCTCGCTTACCACAAAGCACCTGCAAGAGAGAGGCTGGTGAGCCCCCAAAAAAGCAAAGGGTTTCAGAGGAGACAAGGCTTCTCTATAGCACAGCAACATCTGCGGGGCAGAGCACTACAGGAGAAGGCTTTCACCCTCAAAAACATCATCTGGAGGTGCATCAGAGGGGAAAAAAAAGCACCAACCAAGGAAGCAAAAAGCAATTCAAACACACACACACACTTCCCTAACAGTCCACAAAAAATTTACCCACTTCACAACCAGCTTCATTTACTAGCAAGTCTTGGTAACATTAAAATATGGGGGTGCAAAGGGGAATTAACACTGGGAAAGCTTCAAATCATTCTGCCCACAGTTAGTGCTGCCAAGTCCAAGTACAGCAGCTGCTCTTTAACGTTATTGGCACTGGTGTAATCTCACACTGTCCCATGCATGCTCCAAAGCTGAAGTGTAGGTAGGTGCCTGCACATGTGGGAAGAGCTAAGACATTGCAATGTGTGGCTTCCGTAATTTGCCCTTCCATGGCAGCATTGCGCCATGCCCTCAACCTACAGCTAAATCTCCTCGCACCGCCAGCCAGGACTACAGAGCCGCGGTGCAACGATGCCTCGTCTCGTCTGTCAGCTTGGCCTTTCACTTAACATCTGCCGAAGTAGGAGAACAGAGAAAATAAGATGCACTTTTTTCACAAACAGCTCCTCTCAAAGCTGAAAGCATTACTAGGGGATCTGACATCAGCACTGCCAATCTAAATATGTCAGACCCGCTGTGCATCCACAAATTGCCTTGACAGCAGCCGCGCAGCCAGCGGCCCGTGCTCTGAGCACAGGCGACAATGACCGCGGTCTGAGCTCTAGAGGCGAGAGCGACAGCTCTGACCGAGCTCCCTCCCTCTATAATAAACAGGCGAGTCCTGCTTCTCCCACCAAGAAGAAAATCGCAGGTGGACAGAAAGTGCTTGTGATGGGAAACCAGGAGCAGCACTCCTGAATGCGAGCGCAGGCAGACACGGAGCAGAGAGCCCTGCTGGGCCAGGATACAGGTGCACAGGGGACCCCGCCATCTGCTCGGGCACCACACACCGGACACCGGCCCGGCGCTACGTGACCGCAGGGGACACAACTTTCCCAAGCGCGGAGGCCGCGCCCCTTCGCCCCTCTGCCAGGGCTGCTGGCGACAGTGGCAGCTCCAGCCCGGAGCAGCGGCTTCAGCGGTGTCAACAGCTCCGCGCTGCGAGACCGCGGCCAGGGCGGGCTGGAACAGCCCCCGCCCGGGGCCGGGAGCTGCGGGCGGAGCAGAGAGGTGCCGCGCTCCCCGCCCGGGATGTTTACGCGGAGAGCGCGGCAGCAGCGCTGCTCACCCAGCGCTCACCGCCAGCACCGGGAGCCGCCCCGCCCGCCGCCGCCTCCGCGGAGGGACTGCCGGAGCAGCGGGACGGGCGGCGGGACGGGCGGCGGGACGGGCGGGCGGGCGCCGGCGCTACCCGCGCGGTCCCGTATTCGGTGCGCGCGGGTTTAATTTTTGTGGCCACCGGCCGAAAAGCTCCGGGGGGAGCAGGATCCACCGGCACCGCCGTAGCCACCACTTCCTCGGGCAGCGCCGGGCGGCAGCCGGGCCGCCCCCGCGCCCGGCAGGGCACGGCCCTTCCTCACCGCCTCCCTCCCTTCCTCCCTCCCCTCCCCTCCCGTCAATCCCCACCCTCCGTGGGCGGGGGGGCTCCCGCGGCCGCCCGGCCGGGTACCTTGCAGGCGGAGTAGACGCCCAGCTTCTCCAGCTTCTTGGCCCGCGGCGCGGCGCGCAGCTGCGCCTTCTTCCCCGCGGTGCGCGCCGAACCAGCCCCGCCGGGGTTCTCGGCGGCGCTGCGGACCGGCCCCCCGGCGGCCACCCCCGCGGCGGCCGGGGAGCCCTGCTGCGGCCCGCCGCCGCCCGCCGCCCCGGCCCCGCCGCCGCCAGGCTCCGCCATGCCCGCGGCGCGGCGGCGGCCGCCCGTCCGTCCGGCCCGCCGGCGCGGCGCGGTGCGCCCGGCCTTGGACCCTCCCCTTCGCCGCTCCGCCGCCGGCGGCTGCTCCCGGGGGGGCGGGAGGAGGGACCCGCCGCTCCGCGGGCGGCTCCTGCCCCGCCGGCGGGGGTGGGGGGCCGGCACCCGCCTCCCGCCGCTGCGCACCGCAAGGGCGCGCCCGCCTCCCTCCCTCCCGCCCCCCCTCCCTGCGCGGGGGCTGCGCGGGGCGGGCGGCGCCCCCGCGGGAAGGGCGGCGGCACCCGCGGCGTGCGGAGCCGCTACGGAGCCATCCCGGCCCTCCGGGAGGCTGCGCGGAAAGTTGCCCTAAAAAGAGGCGGCATCGCTGGCAGTGTCGCACGGTCCCGAACCCCGGCGAGCCCGCGGTGCTGCCGCAGCCGCCGTGGCCCCTCGGAGCGCGGCTACTTTGTTTGGCTTAACCATTGCCTTCCCACACTGTGTACTCTGCGGCCACCCTTGAAGGGTTCCGTCTTCTTCCCCAGATCATTTCTAATTGAATGTACAAGTACGGGTCAGTTTGAAATACCGGCTAATTCAAAAACTCTCTGCTCAGTTTCTCGTGTCATGGTTCTGGGGCTTGGTTTTTTGTTATGTCCAGAAACAAGTGTTGAGAGCAGGTCAGTTCATACCTTAAAGGGATTACCCTTTAATTGAAAGTTAAATTAAGGAAATGGCCCTGCTCCAGAGAGCGCACTCCATGCACAGCAGCAAGTGCACCGGCTGCGAGGCGGTTCTGCCCCGCTGCACGTATGTAAAACCGTGGTTGAGCCGTGAGAAACCACAAATGGCAATTCCGTACTACGGCACCACGGTTTAAAGGGTTGACATTGAGGCTGGGCGTTTGCGTGGGATTTACGGTTCTTTGATGTGTGAAGTTAAACTATCAAAAAAGCAGTGTGAGTTTGGAGGGAAGTCCCAGCAAAGAGAGAGGGCTTTGCAGGCACAGGGCGTTGGCACCTTGCACGGGGAAAGCAAAAATAACTCTAGGTTTGTGCGAAGTAATATTTGGGGGGAAGGATGGGTGCCAAAACCCTGCGGCGTCCTTCTTTCCTTCGCAGCTCCTGGGGATATTTTCAAGCATGGTGTTATACAGCGAGTCGGCATATTCACGAAATTACAGGAAACCAGAATGGAATAAAATGAAGCATTTAATGAAACAGGGAGATCTGTTGTTTTTCTCTCTTTACTTATTTATATTTTAATTTCGCTGAGGTTTTCAAATCGGCAGCGTGTCGGTGGGGTGGGGGTCAGACCTGCGCCCCGGCCTCTGCCGCGGGCCGTCCGCAGCCGGGGTACCCCGGGGGTGCGCGTCGGGGCCGGGCTGGCTTCGGGCTTCCTGCAGCTGTGACAGCGACCCGTAAGATGGCTGCTGCCATCCCCGCCGCTTTAAGACGGACTGGTTAAGGTGGAGGAGCCGCTGCCCTTGGCGGTAGCAGCCTCAAGATTAATAGGAAATCAAACGTGATACGAAAATCCAGTTTGTCTGGAATTTAGGAGAGAATTATCTTCGTCTTTTATTTTTAAATTTTTGGTGTAAGTGTCCGAATCACGTTTTAAAATAACAAATAGCCGCTGTATATTAGCAACCCCTAAGAAGCTCTTCGCTTGCATTTTCTTTATGCCGGTTAGGTTTCTTCTTTCGGACTTGAAAATGAAACTGTTCTTGCTTAGTTTCGCTTTCAGCTTTCCCACGACTCCTCCTCGGCAGAGCAAATGTTACGAGCAAAGAGCACATCTGGAACAACACGCTGGCTGCAATGGACCACTTAATATCCCCGCCTGAACATCGACTCCTGGTTATCCTGGGAGTTATGTACCTTTACACGCCCCTGTATGTTTTTCCTTTTTTGTTTTGTTTTTTTTACCCCAAACACCAGGTTCTCCTTTAACCAGGTAGATAATGATATTTAACCCAGCATTAAGTTTGCACACTTGCATGTAATGAATTACAGTTTTGGTATTGAAAATACATTTACTGCTTTCACACAGATGAATAACTCCACCGATGTGCATCAAGGCCACTCAGTGGGCATTTATGTCTGAAGCTGCACAGGTGAATGCTCACAGGATCACTGCCTAGGTGAACAACCTTATTCTTTCGGAACCTTAAAAGCCTGAAAACTTATTGCTTCCATGAAAGTAAAATCAAAGATGAAAGTTGTCAGGAAGCAAATAATTTTACTGCAGTTCCTTCTTGAATCCTCAAGAGCATGGCTGCCATACAATGTCATGTCTCTTTTTTTCCATTATACCTTGATGCTCACCAGATAACCAGAAATGTAAGTCTACCAGCTTGTGGCTACAGATACAGTTACTATAGTAACATTTATAAACACTAATTTCACTACACTTGCAGACCTGCTGCCTGCTAGAAGCTGCTTTGAAAGAAATCACTCTAACTGTGAATAGGTAAGTTTTCCTCTTTCTTTTTTTTAACATGAAGCCTGATCATTGCTCACATTCTAACTTTGTGCAAATATATTGTTAAAAACAAAAAGAAAAAGAGCTTTACTTTGTCTTAAACTGCTCCAGTGAAAAGAAAAATATTACATTTAAAATTTTAACAAGACTAAGGAGCAAAAAGACAAAAAACAAACCCCTTATGCTTTGACATACGAGTGGACACATGTCATTGTTGCATATATCCAGGCTGTTTTCTTCTCTTGGCTGAATTCAGAAGTGCAGCACATACTAATTTTCTAATTATAATGCATGCATAAACCTGAGCACCATGCAACCCCTCTGTTGCTTGGTTTTTGTCATTAAACATGAATATATTAAATTAGATTCAAACTCACAGTATTGTCTGAAAAACCCTCTCCACATTTTTCAGTTTCTGTCCTTTTGGGCGTGTCAGTGGGTTTGCACAAGTTGAGCTGACTCTGAAACCCGAGTTGAGGAAGCACAGGTGGGAGCAGATGATCCTGCCTGTGCTGCTCAGCTCACAAGCTCAGGTGAGTAGCCAGGTGACTTCAGGAATGCTACTCATCTGCATCAAATTAGGGAAGCCAGGAGCCAGGTGAGACACAGGTGCCAGCTCATGTGGGTTTCAGGTCTCGCTCAGGCTGCTGATAGCCCTGAGGGGGATCCCTGCTCAGAGCCCATGCTCCCAGCAGATCAGACATGCATTTCACATTTGTTGCTCCTGCATGAATTCACCATGAACACCTGACAGGCTTAAATGCAAGAGCCTGTGTGTTAGTATTATTCCAAGGAGGCAAAGGAGGCAGCTGCGTTCTTGAGTCACAAAAGAGGAAATCAAAATACAGTTCAGGGCGTGCCAGACTCCTGGTTATTACCAAGTTGTCATTTAGGGCTTTTGGGGCCTATCTTGCTCCCATAAATTAAAGAATGACTCAGTTAATAGCAGCCTAATGCTGAATGCTACTGCTCTGACAGGGACCACCCAGCCCACAGCTGAGCTCTGGGAGTCTACCCCTAACCCTCCTCCCTGTCTCACAACCCAGTCAGATCCAGCATGCCCAACCTAGCCTTGTCTCCCTCCTTTTGTTCAAGAGAGATTTTCTTCCAGTGCTCCCACCTGTTTTTACTCTTGCTATTCAATTCCAATAGGAAAAGCATAGCTCTTGCTCTTCCAGGGAACTTGTCTGAGTATGAAATCCTATTGTGTCCTTTCATTAGTGCATTCCTTGTGGGTGAGGTGGCCTCCCTCCTGGCCACCAGGCATTCAGGAGTGCTATCAATAATTTATGAATCACTGGAAGTATTAACAATACTAAAGTTTTGCTCATTAGGCTGCCTCTAGCATCTCGTCAGCTTCCCATGGTGCTTACATGTGACTCTAACAGCACAGACCTTCCCATCAGGTTTTTGCTCTGATAGGAAACCTCACACCCCAATTACCCAGTTTCTAAAGGAAAAAATGCAGAAAAATAAATGGATAAAATGTCATTTGCAACACCCATGGCTGCTCCAGTCGCACAAATTTCTTGTTAGTGATGGACCATTTAGCAGTTTTTATATGCTTCTTACCCAGAGGATGCTCTTCCTGACTGCAGTCAGACTTTTGATTTAATCCAAACCAAGTCAGAAAACTAAAGGCTGGAGTCACTCCTGCCTTTGCATAATTTGTGTGTGTGAGGTCCAGAAGATGTTTGTTGAAGTTATTTAGCCATCAGCAGTCACTGCATAGGCTTACACTGTATTATTTTATGGTAATGAGAGCTCTGGATCTCTTCTTGCAAACATGGGATGTAATACCTATTTTTCCCTTACCTTCTCTTTGACTCCCCACAATTCTTTTGTTTATTCCTTTCTCTAATGCATTTTTATGTTCTCTCTATTCCTTAATTCGTGGCAGAGATCCCTGCAAACCTCTGGGACTCCACTTGGTGCATTTTGACTGCTTGTGCCATGTAGGGCAGGTTATTTGGTGGAAGCCTGAAATACCCCTGGGAGACTGGCACAGGCACTGCTGGCAGGGATGGGAGAGAAAGGGCCTCCTTTCTCCTTTCTCCAGGTGCCAGCCAGCACCCTTGATACAGAAATAATATCTATGTCAGTGTTGTAAGATGAAGTTTCAGTGGCCTAAGCACATCTGGTTGTGCAAACCCAGTCATGAGCCTTCCACATATCTGTATGAGGGACCACCTGGAAATCCTAGATTTTCCAGGAACTAGAGACACCCATAGGCACCACTGCCAACCCCTCAGCCAAGCAGCAGAAATTAACAGCTAAAAACTTCCATTTGGACTGACTGTAATAGTCAAAAATGCAGAGCAACCCCAGGAGTACAGCACCAACCCCAGCTGGGGATCTGTGGGGTGAGGGAGGCAGGATGTCAGCAGGAGTGCAGAAGGCACAGTTACATTATCACCACCCATCCTCTACCTTCTGCCACAGCTTTCTTTGTGGGTCCCCAAACCCTCACATCCCTCACCTCCTGTGCCAAGGCTGGCAGGCTCACCATCCTCACTCATTGTTTCACGGCTTCTCTGCCCCACACAGGCCCTTGGGAGATAGCAAACTGCTACTTCTGCCTCACTGAGACTGACCCATCTATGAGGAAGAGCTGCAAAATATCTGGAGTGTAGAAAGAGTTGGTTTGTCGTTGTTTCACTACTCCCATTTCCCATTTTGATGCTTCCTCCCAGTTGAGGAGCTGCAGCTCTGCACAAGTGGACAGTGTCACAAATTATAACTCTTGCCCAAGAAGACCTAATGATGGGGACTCCTATTTTATAGGGTGGCACAAAACCAGAGGGCCTGGAATCCCGGGATTCCAGTTTTGGACAACACTTTAGGAGACAAATAAGGAGACTAATTATCTTAATTTATTCCATAATTATTTTAATTATCGATCACTTCCTTCTTTCTTACCTACTATCAGGTTTACAGGTGGGAGTACAGGATTCCAAGTCCTGAATGCAGGCTCTGCCCCTGGCATTCTCCTGTGACTCACAAGTTTGTCCTTATCTCTTCCCACACCTGTCATAACTAGACTTTCTTGAAGCTGCATCACTGCTTCTGGGGATGCAGTAAGTAGGCTATACATGCACACCTAAGTTGACTCACTTGGGAGAAGATGTCTTGCTCCTTCTGCACCATTCCCTCTGTGGATTGTTTTAGAGAATGAGGGGATCAGTTCTGATAAAAAAATACTGGAAGGTATAGGGCATGGCTCCTGGGTTAGCAAATTAGTTTGTTTTTTCATGTGAAGACTTTTTCAGAGGCCTTATATGAGTTTAAGGAAGGCTTTGTAAGGGTTTTCATGTAAAATATTTGCTCTTTGCTGCTTTGGCCAAAGATGACCACGTGAACCTGGGACCTGCTAAGGCAGCATCCCCCAGCAGAGGGTGGCTCCAGCTGTGCAGCAGGGCATGAGCTGCACAGCCACACTGCACCAGACCAGTGCTGATGCCTCACTGCCCACCCTGGGTGGCTCCTTGACACATGCTGGTGGCATCAGGCACCCTGCAGCTCAGGGATAGTCCTGGCCATGATGAGAGTCTCTGTCATGGTTGCTGTATGTGGGTGTGATGCATTCACAGTTTTCCAAGGGAGGTGCTCTGCAAGAACTGGGCTGAAGGTGTGGAGGCAATGAAGCCATGTCCTGGTGTCACAGGCACATGGGAAGGAGAGGACTGAGAGGGAAGCACGACCTGAGACATGAGCAATAAGTAAATAAGTACATCAGGAAAGCAGGAAAAGACAGGCAAGGAAGCTGGTGCTCATTCAGCAAGAATTTGTTTATATGTACTAGATGATAATATTTTGATGAGAAACTCAGGGAGACCATGACCTCCATTTTACATCCCACAGTCCTTCTCTGCCTTGTCCCATCACCCACAGGCAGGCAGGCAGGCAGGCATCTTTCCAGCACTGGTTTCAGCATCAATAACAGTCACCATTTTCTAAGACCACAAGTATGTAGCAAATAATAAAACCCCCAAACCTAAGAGAGGAAGGAGTTCAGGCCTGGAGATTGTGCAAGCTAAGTTCTGACTGTGTCAAAGGGAAGTGAGGAAGAAGCTCTCTCTGGGTGGAGATAGGAACAACATGTGTCAAAGGGAGATAACTGCATATGGGACTTGTCTGTTTAGATACAACTCAGATCCTCCATCCTCAAAGCTCAGGAACTTCTTCCATCTTTGGTAATTAAAAAAATGATAATTGTAGTGCCAAACTGCAGAAACAGAAAATAATCTTGCCTTACCTTATTAACAGCAAGCAGCTCCAAGTGTCATAGCTAGAAAGGTTTTCCAGAAATATGAGATTTACTGAGACAATGGTATCATCTGCCATATAGGCCTCATGCTCTGCCTCATTCTGCCCCTTTTAGACAGGCCAGTGTATGGCAGACTAAGCTCTGACCAGGAGGCTCTTTGTTATGACACACAGTAAATACAATTTTTTTGCCCTTGAAAACACATAGAATCTCAAACTGTGGTTCACTCCCCATTCTTCTACATCTAATTTCTTTTTATCTGCTTCTATTTTCATCTCAGAACATTAAACTGTGTTGGGTTTTGGCTCCCTAAATAGGCACAGGGAAACTGCAGTGAGCTAGAAAGCTGAATTTTATCTTTCACTGTGAAGCTGGCAGTGCTTTAGCTTGGTGTATTGTGCTGTCAGTATCTCACTGTTATCCTTTAACCTGACAGCAAAAAACCTCCCAGTCTGTATTTGTTCCTGATGAGAGACATACAAGGAGAGAAGGACATATAGACTAATCTTTTTACTTCATTAGAGATCAGCAAAGCAAATGTTTCTTATTTTATATCTTTACAAGGTTTTTAGCTATTAACATAAGCAATTTATGCATAGCATAAAAAATTAACATCAGGGCTGCCCTTTTAATAATTATAAGTAAAGTTATTGCAACTAAAGAGTTACAGCCTATCCTGCTACATGAATTATTATGTATATTATCCTGGTTATTTACACATTGTAATTAACTGGGACTGTTTTGGTGCTTTGAAAATGTAATTTCTTAGCACTTACAGCCACTTATGGAGATACAAACCCATGTAAAATGTGTGTTAAGAAATTCAGTTTGCTGAGATCAAACTAACATTTTGCTGGAAGTTACCCATTTCCTGTATCTAGTCCAAGGGGCTTTTATATACACTAAACATAAAATGGGCTACTATTTAAAAGACTGACAAAAAATAGCTTACCAGTTGTTTTGTATACATTAGTCCTAATTTCTCTCAGGCTTGAATGCATCATTGTAATGAAAGCACTGAAAAGTCTTGTGACATCTCTGTCTCAAATTCAAATTATGCAGAATAAAGGAAAAAGGGATCTGCACAAGCAGCTTTACCCATGCACCTCCTCACCTTTCCCTGCTGGAGAGGTGCAGCATTTTCAGAGGAGTCTGATGTTCACCTCTTGTAGAGAGACAGACTTTCCTATAAACTGATCCTACAGCAGATTGAGAGTTGTAGCCAGCTGCAAGCCACCTCTGGAAGGATAAGCTATCTAAACTGTCATAAAGGGTTTTTAAGTGGCTCTGCATAATATCAGAAGATATGTTGTAATTGATCTACCTCAGCTGATCAGAGGCTCTTGATTCATTAATTCATTAAGATGTATTAGGATTAATTTCAGCTAAAGGAGGTTAGGGCTTTGACTTTAACAACATTTTATCTAACTGCCATGACAGAAAAGAGGCACACATTGAAACACAAACTGCAGAAATCCTTATAATACAGAGGTGATGGAGACAAGTAGTGAGACCAAAAAAAAAAAATACACTGCTGCTAAACTATCTTCCTTTGCCCTGGTGATGAATTATCAGCAGTTAACAAAGGTTAACTAAGACAGAAATCTCGTAACAGAGAATACAACAGCACATGCATTTTTGTCTGATTTTTCTCATCCATAAATGCTAGATACTAAAAAAAACCCATAATCAACTTGAATATAAACACTGTGTTTTCATACTTAGTAGATGCATGAAGTATAGGCTGGCAAGCTTAGCTGCTCACATGGTGTCAGGATTTTGTGTTATGGTGTCTGTGCACGTATGTCACGTGCTGGTTTAGGGGGAGAGGATGTTATGCAAGCAGCAGTTCATACTGAAATTTTCCAAGCCTGAAGCAGAAATCACTTGGGAAAAAATTCTAGGTAAAATGGCTTAGCTGTTCCTGAGAATAGGGTTTGGAAAATATGTTGTTTTGAATGTATTAAGCTAAAAGGTTTTTTTTTTCTAGAGAAGCTCCAAGACGGTCAGGTTTTAAACTACCACTTGGCAATTTGGCTGAAATGGCATCAGCAGTGCTTCTTTTCATTCTTGTCAGTTTGCCCAAACCAGAGCAAGTTACAATATTTAGAAAGCAGCATCAGTTTGCCCATGCCAGGTAGAGACATGCTAATGTGCAGGCAGTAAATTCAGACAGGTCCCTCTGTGCCACCAGGGCTCTGTCAGGAAACACCTTGCTCAGAGGCTCTACAGCTCTGATCCTTGGCTTGGCAGCACCAGGTGCCAGGCCTGGAACAGCACTGGGGGGAGCAGAGTGAGGCGAGAGAGACCGAGCTGATGGGGGACACTGGAGCCAGGAGCTGCAGAGGAAGAACTGGAGGTACAGGGGGCAGGGGGAAGCCACAAGCTCTGGCTGGAGGACAGGTAGAGAAGCTGGTGCTGACTAGAGTCAGGTCCTTGCAGGGCCGAAATTCTACACTGCTAAATTCTCTGAGACACATAGGCAGAAGGTTCATTACTCACTTGAATTCCTTGTGGATAATCCCACTCCCACACCATTTTGTGATCTTGCCAATATCAACAATCCCGGTACTTCTAAGAAAGTAAATAATTCTTTAATAAAAGCACTACTGATTTGCTAAGATAAAAATTCCACATGGCAGAGAGACATGGAAGACAGGTTTATTGTGCTGGACAACCATGAAAGTAGGTCAGATACATGCTTTCTGCAGATTCTTGATGGCTGTCACAGTGTGACAGCTACAGAAACAATTGTAGCAAAGCTTCCACTTCTATTTCTTAAACAGCTTTCTCACATGGATTCCTCCCACAAAAATAAAAATGACAAAGAGCAAATTCTAGAAATTTTGCCAGACTAATCAAGCAGATTACAGGGAAAAAGAGAAGAACCAGGCAACGAGGAGACCGACAAGACCAGTCTATTATGAAAGCGTATGCTAAGTCCTTTTGGAGAATGCAGATTTTTACAGCTGGGAAGGAATGAGGTTTCCAAAGTTCACTGGAGTGGCTGTTCAGTGGGAAAATAATTCCTAGAGAAGAGATGGATGGCACTGGGGAAGAAGAAAGAAAACATCCTGAAAACAACACACACAGCCCATTAGCGAGGACAGCCAAAGGTGTTGCTGGGCTACTGCACGTTGCTATTATAGGTAAGTATATTCCACACCAGGACTTTTTTTCCCTTCATCCAATTAAGAAAAAAAAAAAAAAAAGAAAAAAGCAAGCCTAAATTAATCTAGACATTTGTTGGCAGTTGGTATCTGGAGATAAAAGGCAGCAATTCCTTTAGCTTGACAATGTGAAGGAGACATGATCAATTCCCTCACAACTGATACTGCTATCAGACAATAGTATTCAGCTTCTTAGATAAGTAGCCTGAGCACAATATTTGAATTAAAGCATTTAACTCAATTTACTAATGTAAAAGACAAGTTAGAAAATATTCCATAATACACAAGTCACCTCTGTAAAAATAGTATGTTTTTGTTTTTCTTTTTAAATCAAGAGGTTTAAAGTGTCATCACTTTAGGACAGGCTTCTGATTTTTGATGATTCCAAGTCCTTCTATCAATGAAACATGCTTAAGATATTCTTTTAATTAATTTGTTTCATTGGACTAAGTGTCACCACATTTTGCTACCAGTAAATTGAAAACATGATTTGAGGGAATAATCTGAATTATTACTTTCTGAAATAGGAATCTGTTGTATTTTACTCTTATGAAAGAACTATTCAGACCTGTTTCCTTATGAAGTAGAACCTTGCTTTTCTTTAGTGCAGAATCAGTTATTTATTACAATCAGAAACTATGATACATTCCTAATGCTTCTTCACCCACCCCTGCTACAACGGACACTAGAAAAGCTATTGCAGACTGGCAATCCAGTCATTGTATCTTCCCACCTGGTGATTTTTGTTACCAGTTAAGCACCCTCCTGTAGGTAAAACAGCTGTGAGATTACAAGCAAGATACTTGCTTTCCCACAAAGGAGCACACAAGTAGAGTGGGTAAAAAAAAACAGAGCGTGTATAAAAAAAAGCAGGGGGGTGAAGAGTTCCAAATGGATTTGTGTCTGCAGCTACATTCTCTTCCAGCCTCTGCCTGAAGCACATGCCCAGCACTACATCACTTCTCTATCACTCTCCTTGGCATTAGTAAGGAGTGGGCTGACACTGCAGCTGACATCAGAGGCACTCTTTCTTCTGTGATGTGTGCATTCACACAACTTGTAAGACTTCTTCATATTTCCCCATATGAAATTTGACCAAAATTAATGAAGAGGGTCAAATATCAGTAGAAAAAGGGAGAACCATTTGAGAGATTTCATTGTGGTCAAGACAAAAAGAAAAAAAACCAAACATGTTCTACATTTGAAAAAAACAATTCCAGATATTGAAAAAATACTTTTCCTTAAGAACAACTTGCCCTCATCTGCCAGCCTGAGAAACACTGTAAACCAACATTATCATGCACTGACACTGCTCTAGGTAACTGTGGTGTATCCCATAATCTCCATTCTTCAATGCTTGCTGCTACTACAGCTGTACTTTACCTCAAATAAGCTTTCTGCAGCTATGTGACCTTGACTGGTACAGGTATCAAAACAGGTAGTTCAGCACTAGCCCACCTGTTCTTTCAGGAAATGCAGTCACACCTTTACTGGAATACAGCATTAACTCACAAAAAGGCTGCAGTGTTTTCAGAGGCATTTGTTTCCACCTTATTGGAAACATATTTTATTTCAAAGAGATTGATGAAGGCAAGAACTGAGGCTGGGTGAATTCTTTATAAAATTGCTTCTGGGTCTTGTTACCTGCCTCACCCATTCCTTACAGAGAGGGTTTCATGCTGGTTGCAATTAAGGATAACATAAATTCAAGCTCTGCTAACAAGTTAAGGTTTGAAGTTCATCAGAGGTACTTTAAATCTTTTATGATTAAAGTCCACATTTCTGAACCACTGCTAAATACACATTTATTTAATCTAATACAATTAATTTTCCACCAAATGTACCACATCAAAGGAAAGCATTCACGCAACATCAACTTTCATTTTTCCCCAAGGAGTGCATTCTTACAGAAGTACAGACATGTTTCTTCAGCTCCAGGTAAGCAACTAAAGAGGATGGTCAGATACAAGGAGCAGGAGCTGGTGACATGGGCCATCTTCTTCATTTAGTCCCATATTGATAGGTCAGCTAAGTTTTGTTGACTCTTTTGCCCTGTCTCTGGTTTGCAGACAAGAGAGACTTGCATTCAAAAGAGACTTTAAGATTAAAGATTTTACTCTTTCTTGCAGTCAGATTGTTCCACATGGGTTATATTATGGCCTTGGGCAGGCATACAGTTGGTGGTCTTGCTCCAAGGGTTTAAAGGATATTTTACACATTCTTCTAGAAAATGGAGGATGGAAATCAGAGGAAGGAAGGGGAAACAAGCACAAGGAAACATACAGAGCACAATTTAAGGCATCTAAAATTTATAATTAATTAAAAAGGTGCATCCTTCAGTTTGGTATTTTGAATCACTTTCTGATTTAAGGCAGAAGAAATCTGCCTTCACAGACTAGACTCAGCTGTCTCCTACACTCGATGATGCCAATACTGCCCAAGAAATACAATTACTGTGTACACAATGCCTACTCATACACCCTTTTCAGAGATCTGTGCCCCAGTCTAGCCAGATGTTATTAAAAATACAATATAAATGAACACACTGCAGCCAGCTTCATGCCTAGAAAGTCACCACATCCCAAGGAAGTTCCTTCTGCCTGGCATTGCTTTTACCCTTATGACAACACATCGGAGGGGACTGAACACCTCCCCTAACACAAGAAATGGTCTCCCAGGGCAGGCACAGAGGATCTCAAACAACACAGCACTTTGGTTCAGAGCTCTTTCCTTAATGCTCTGCACTCAAATCTGACATGACCAGCCTCCCGCAGTGCTGCAATTACTAACACTTTTAATTCTCAGATTTCAGAAATGTTGAGGGACAGGGAAAATACCTCTTCCTACTAAAGCCAAGAAATTAGTCCTCAACTTCCCATAACGACTAAGAATTCTTGCTCCCTTGGGTGCCTCAACCAAGGGATTTAAGGCATCCTGTAAGTAAACAGTAAATCCTACATCATGTCCAAATTATTTTCAAGTACTAGAATTTGTAGGCTGCCAGAAACAGTTTGAGCTGAAACTTCTTGCTGAGTTCATTCAGACACTTGAAAGCACATGTTCTCATAGGAGAAGTATTTGAGAAAAATAGAGAAGTTGCACCTTGACAAGAGTGCATATTTTTCATATTAGACTGCACTTTAAGCTGAATGAAATGTCACCTAAGACTCCTCTCAAGAGTTTTTTTGCAGTCAAGTGATTTAAGATTCCAGAACAGTCTTCTAAGAATAGAAGGGGAAAAACCACAGAAAACTTTGCTGTAAAACCAGAAACAGATTCAATGATGGACATATTGTTGCCTGTGAAGTAGATTATTAACTGTGATCTTAGGTTTTTTCCCAGTCCTTAACAAAACGCTGATACTGTAACAGCAGTATCTTTTAAAAAAAACAGTATGCTATAAATACTATTTAAACTTCAGATGATGTACGTGCAGTCTTACATAAAAACAGAGTCATGTCTCCTAAGAGCACAGCACTTCTAATGTGAGAGAAAACACTTCAGAATGGTGGAAACATCAGCACTAATAAACCAGATTTGTAGAGGGATACCTGAGAACTACAAGGGCTCTTGGACATCACAGAGCTCCAGTAAAAAGAACATCTGTTATATCTGTACTTCATACTGCATCTGTCCCTATAAATGTTACTTGCCAGTTTCTTATTTTGACTTCTAACGGGCTTCGAGGGGTTATGGATTACCTGAAGTACTTGCACCAACTCTTAACATTCACTCATTATTTGAGAATGCATGAATGCTGTTCAACAAAACAGGACATTGTGTGTCAGTGTCTAGTATCCCTTACTGGAGACAACTTTACTGACTCAAGCACTATTAATCATCTGCAAGATAGAATACAGCTATTTTATTCCAATCAAAGTATTTTTCAGAGTGACTCAAAAGGCAACCTGAAACAAAATCAGTGAAAATGTTCTGGGAAGAATTACAGGCATAGTAAAAATGGAATTCTTAATAAGAAAACCAATGACCACAAAAATCAACCTAATCCAGAACTGTCTCTTTTTAGTACCAATGAAGTAAATTCAAAGAACAGAGATACACTGCTCCAATTCTAACACACAAGGTGACTCTGAAGAACTCAGTTTGACAACAGAAATTTTTATCCAAGTTTTCATCCACAGTGAGACTTCAGAGCAAGAAGAAACCAACACTTTCTGTGCAACAGGTCCAAGTCACAGCTATACGCAGCTGCGAAATAATGTGCTGGCATTAAGGTCTAAAGCAATGAAAATGCCCTCAAAACAGACAAAACCATGCCATCTAATTCTGACTCAAATACACAGCTGGCAGAAAAAAATGGACTCCAATTAATTTTGTGACAAAGTGCAGGTGATGTTGGTCAAGAACTGCTAAAGACTGTATCACCACTGGGTTCTAAACCACCACCACAGTTTGAAAAAGACACAAAAATGTACCCAATCAATTGCAAATCACAAGCTGCAGAGGAGACACAGTCAGCTCAGAGACACTGCAATGCAACAAGTCACCTTGTGAACAACTGGCAAAGACTGCATTAGCTGCAGGTTCAAGAGACAATATTACTATTTTGATCATACTTCTAAATGGATGTGATAAGATACCCAATTACCTCAACATTTAAAGATTTATTACAGGATAACTGGAGTGCCACAATATATATATAGGACAAGCTTATATTTAGCTGTGCCATGAATTTATTGAAAGCATCTTAAATGCCGACCCATACAGTGAATCAGACATCTTGTCTGGAACTGTACAAATGCAGTAAAACCTCCTGAAACTCCCAATAAGAACCAGTAATCAAAATTTTTTTAAACCACTTTATTCAAACCTGAGCACCTCAATATAAAACTAAACACTGGTGAACTGTCATTTTTCTTGCTAAACCCAGATTACTGCAAATTTAAAATCTGCACAAGTAAGTTTCTATCAGTTCAACATTTAAATAGACTAATTCATCTCTTCTGACACACTTTGTAGATTTCATATAATGAAAATAACTAAAAGAATTAGTGCAATATACTGGACTGATCAAAATAAAATGTACTTTGGAAAACAAAGTTGCAAAGTTCATTACTGACAGACAGCAGTACTTATGTTACAGATACAGGAGCATCATTTATTACTGTTCTAGCCATAAAGGAAGAACTCAGAACCCCCTTTGATTAGAGAGGAAAAAAGTTAGCTTTAAGTAACTGTACATTCTGTATACCTTTAAGCAACTCTTAAATATTACAGAAAGTATTAAACAAATGTAGACTACAATGCAGAGTACCTATTTACAGTACATTAATATCCAAATTTAAAATCAAGTTGGATGTACATAATCGTTAGTGCACTATTTTTTTTCCTTAGGGGAAAAACAAACTGTAATGGCCAGCAATGATCAGAAACAAGAAAGAAGTCACAGACACCGAGTTTGTTGTGGTTTTACTTGAAGAGCTCTTACAGTTTGTAGAGGACAAAAAACCCCATATCCTAAGTTGTAGAGTTGAATTTACTGGTCTGTACCCTCTGAATAGATTAGAAATGAAGTTAGACTTGATTCATCACTAATTCATTAAGATAACTAACTGGGTTGATATAATTTACATACAGTGTACCAACTAAAACTCCACTTTCTGGCAAGCATAGGATTCTTAAAATTGTTAATGCAAGTATTATCTGTAATAAAATTATTAACCTATGGAATGTGTAACTAAACAGTGGATACCTGCAGAAACAACTGGTTGCATCAATACTGCAAATAAGTTTAAGTAATTTTTAGACCCTGTTTCTAAGGAGGTTTTAAAGCACAATTGAGAATTATGAAAAGACCCAATTCTATTTATTATAACAGTGATCAGTATTGAGGCTACAGGAACTGGCCAATTAGGTCCACAGAAAGTAGTTCTTCTACACCTCTAATAATAACAACTGATTTTTAAAACCTTTCAACTGAAGGAAGTTTATTCCGCCTCCATCTCTCCTCTACTGCTGAAACATTACAGCCAGTGGTGGATACATGCATGTTAAAATTTTAGGTGAAAAGAAAACTCTGTATCATGAACTTGACTATTATTGTAAGTCTCTTCGCTGTTTGGAAGCTGTACTGGACCAGGTTAAGCACTCCAATTCCATGGTTATTAACAGTTAGGAAGCAGAAGAATATTCAGAACAGTTTAAAGCAATTGATCTTTTAGTTACTACAACATTGACTCTTGGGTGGTTGTGTGGGTTCAGTAAGGTCTACTCCTCTTCCTCTGGCAGAGCTGGCTCCTGCATTCTGTGGTTCATTCTTGGGCAATTTTTTTGCTGTAAGGTGAACAGGAAGTAAGAGTTAAACCTGAGATTTTACTAAGATTAAATCACCTGAGTAAACAGAACAACACATAATAGGCATATCAGTGTACTCATTATATAATCTGATTTGATTCGGTGCACTGGTAATAAAAGAAGTGAAGACACTTCTTAATGATTAGCTACTTTATGATTTCCAGGAGTAAAATGGCATTGGTAACCTGAGCAGTAAAATGTATCTGCACAGGTGTGCTATGCCAGTAAATGACAGCTCTTGTGGGAATCCACCCACACAGAACAGGCTTTAAGATCAGGATGTTAGTGCAAAAAGATACAGAAACATTGAAAAGGCAGAAAACACAGACAGAAATGGGTCAAATAGTTCCCAGATATGCAACCAGTATAAGTGTTTGCAGACAACATATAAAATGGCCCTCAACACCAGATCAAGCCACTCCTGTTTTTTTAAAGCTGTCTCTTCTCTTCAGTTCTTATCAGTCAATTGACTGGTAATTTCTTTGTTGCCCTTGTAGCTCCAAGGTTCCTCCTCAGTCTTAACACAAAAAATAAGGGTGAAAGCTGTCACCCTTCTGAGCAGTAGCTTCTCCTGGATTTCTCTCCATCAGAAAATTGCTAAGTTCTACACAAAAGGACTTCCATGGGCCTATCTTACCAGGGCCCAACAACCACCCTTGCTCTATAGTTTGGATGAATGGTTTCACTCCAAAGTAATTACTTCGGTCAGTTTTTAGAGGAGCTTTTTCTAAAATGAATGAAACCCAGCCAAGAAACAGCAGAGCAGACATCAACATGCTGTGGTACCAGATAACCTCAGGGTGCTGGGCAAAAGGGTGGGCCACAGGGATCCTCTGATATCCCCTCCAAGCTGGGCTATTCTACAGTTCTGTGGTAAAATCCAAGAATCCACAAAGTACTAAGCTGCTGACCCACTACAAAGGGTCAATGCACCAATAGAAAAATGTCTTCAGAGCAATGTTTTGGATTCTAGAACTGTATCTAGAACTGAATTAGCATTGGGAATTTTTAACTGGGAGTTCTGAATGAGTGCTGCAGCAGCAGTCAATTTAGAAGCAGCTGCAGCTTGCATCCAACAATTTACAATATTAATTTACAGTTAATATGAAGCAAGTACTTCTTATAAAGTGTTGCTGATAATTTAATTTGCATCTGCTGGAAGTTTGAAAGACACCAAAAACTACCTCCTGCTCTCCTGGTTTGGAATGCAGAAGATTAAGTCCTCTTTAAAAACATTTAATTTTAACATCAATGATGTTTTTTCACATAAAGCAGGTTAGAGAGGTGCAAAAAACAAAACAGATTGAGTAAGGTTATTTGATGCTATACATTACTACTACCCATTAGGAAAGCATCTACTATAATTAAGATAACTACTAAATAGATTAGTGGCCAGCCTAAAAATGAATTTTTTTCTTCCACTTTCAGAAGTCTATTAACAACTACATACAATTTTGGGTATCAATGGAACTCAAAAGTTCTTGGTTTATACTTACTACTACATGCTAGCATCTTTACAGAAATCCCTAAGATTATGTTAAGTTAAAAATATATGAGTAGATCTACTTTTCACATGCAACGTCCTTTACTTATAACTTGGACACTGAATTTAAGCACACATTTCCATCTTTGGCACAGCTTTTGGACTTCAGATAGATGCTTAAATAAAATTAAACAAATGAAAGGGAGAAAGAGCACTTCAATACCAAAAATAATTTATATGAAAAACAGAGATCTTAGGTTAGGAAGATTGCCATGGTCTGAATCTCATGAAAACCATTCCCTTTAAAGTTCTCATTTTGTTCACAAACTCACCAATTGCCATGAATATTTCATTTACGTTCATAGATGTTTTGGCAGACGTCTCCATGAACAATAGGCTGTTGTCATCTGCATAAGCCTGTGCTTCCTGAAAGTTAAAATAAGAATACATTTCTTTTTTTTTTCTTATGAAGTAAATTCATACAATCATTACACACTGTACTTTAAATTGCTACAAAAAAACAATCTCTACAGCATTTTGAAAGAAAGACAGTTTGTGGAAACACTCCTCTGACAAATTTATACACCAGCTATGGAGAAGTTACAATTTCACCAATCAGTTAAACAATTATAAGTGGAATCTTAAAGATCCCTACTAATCTTAAAAATATCCAGGTGGAAAAATCTCAGACAAAACTAAATAATAAATGAAAATATTTATGAAAGAGATAACCCCAATGCAGAACATTAGCTCTGATAGTAAGAACAAATAAGCTTCAAAAGTGCCATCAAATGTCAGTGAGTCCATTATTACCCTGGAAAAAGGCAGTCTGTGAACGATCTTGAATCTTTCAACCACTGAGGCAGATGGATCAGAACAGTTTTATTATCCTGATATAAATTCACAATTACTGCAAATAAGCAGTAATCAGTAATTTGCCATGTTACCTCCCTTTTCAGTATGAATTTTAATCTGATACACTGCTCTTAAGAACCATACTATTTCTGCCACTTCTTATTAGTCAATTCAGCTGAGAATCTGCAGCTTCTTATGATTATGTAACTGCCTTTGCATTCAGTAAGAAATCCATGAAAAAGCTGAATTACAGAACACCTTTGATGATCATAAGAATAATTGATGACTCTCTATAATTAAGTGACACCTGATAAGATCTATGTAATTCTATCTGAAACAACACATTAACAAATACTTAGAAATCTAATATTTCATTTGCAATGAGAAAGGCCTGTCAAGCCCACAAGGAGCCCACAAATCCACAGTAGCAAACCTCCCCTACATTTGAAAAACATTAAGACTGTAATTGTTCAAAAAATAGTAGGTAGGTCTACTTTGTTAGTTAAATGTGATTACATTATTGACTGCAGTCATGTATGAAATTTTTGTTAAATACCACCATTTTTCATAGAACACCAAAGCCACCTGTCAACTGTCACAGAAGTATAAAATTAAAAAACTGGCAGAAAAATACCTAAACCACTGCTAACCTTTCAATTCAACTCTCTATAGTTACAAAAGGATTCATTACTGTATGCAGCTGTATCTCAAACAGTGACCCCAAACACAGATTGAAAACCATAAATTACTGACTAATAAATACTATCTTAATTCAAATTCAGCCAATCATGAATGGACCAAAACTACCTGCAGGTAGTTTAATTCAGTTTAAAGGCTTCTGATGACTTGATTAAACTTTCTAGAAGATAAAATACACACCAGTGAGAGCACAGCTGTAATCACTAAACCAAAAGAAATACCATGAAAAGCTCAATTAAAATTTCAACACTGCTTCAACAGTACCTAAGCAAGTTAGGCACATCAATCAGCTTTGTATCATATGATAATCAAAATTCTCTGGCTGACAAGCCAGACAGAACAGTTTGCACTGAGTTACTGCTATCTCATACACTGAAACTCTAGTTACTGGTAATTTTGGGTAGAAGACAGAAAGAGGTCACATCAAAGAACAGATACTCAATTAGCCTTAAAGATACGCAAATAAATTAATTATTCCTCAAAGTCAAATTAATTATTCCAAAAAGCCTATTCCTCCACATTACTTGTACAGAAATAGGTTTTTCAGTAGCATGTATAATTTAATTAGTCTCAGTTGACATTTATATTTAACAGCATGACCTCCATAATAACTAGATAGGCTATGCATATAAGCTCCCTGTAGGTTTATTTACTATCTATTCAAACAAAATGCAATTCTTATGAACAAAAATTATGTACATACCTGGAAATCCACAGCTCTTTTGTTAGCTAGATCAGCTTTGTTTCCTGCTAAAGCTATTACAATGTTAGGACTTGCTTGTCGCTGAAGTTCTTTGACCCAATTTTTCGCTCTGGCAAAGGACTCCTGTTAATGATTATAAATGATGCAACTGAGTTTTATCATCCTTTTGTACTCACCTATTATCCCCATCTCTGTTATCTACACTTCAAGCACAAAATGCCAGTGTAAGGCTGCTACCTTAGTCCAAAGGCACACTCCAAATTGCCAACTGAGCTTTTAAAATTAAACATTCCTACCTTAGTTCTCAACTGTGCTTAGCTGGGATAATGCTGAAGTAAATAGGTAGGAAGATCTTTGTGTAGACAGAGTAAGGAAAGAAGTGGTTGAGAGAGAAAACAGGAATTTCAGTTTCTCTGGAAGATTCAAGTGTATGAACAGCTACATTGAGAAGGCCTCAAAATTACTTTTTAATTACTGAGGACTGTTCATTATGGTACATGATTTCTGTGGTTTTTTTGAGAGATTTGGGTTTGAAGTCTAATTTTATCAGAAACTACTGAAGCTTAACTCATCCAAGTTGAAATAAAAAGAAATCTAATAACCTTCAGTTTTAGTCTCAATAGCTTGTGCTACCTTTCCAATCCTTAATCAAAATTTGCAAAAATACAATATTAAAATAATGGCTGCACTATCAGAAATAAAGGTGCCACCAGCAATGTGATGAGAGTAAAAGCTCAAACTCCATGAACTGATTTAATGGTGGGTTAGAAACATTTTTACAAGAGGATTTCTCCTCTTCTTTTCCCTCTTTTTAATAAAAAAACCACCCCAAAACAAACAACCAACCAAACCAAAACACAACAACAAAAAAAAACCCCAAAACCAAAAAAATAACAAACAAAACCCCAACTCTAGAAATAGTCTTTTAGCCAGAAAAGTTTAGACACAAATTAATTGACATTACACAGTGCAGTATGAAATGAGCCATCTGGTCCAGCAGAAGGCATCCCTGCCCATGGCAGGAGTGTTGGACTAGACAACCTTTAAAGGCTTCTTCCCATCCAAACCATTCTATAATTCTACAAAATGATGAACTGATTTACACAAGTCAGTGAGGAAAAAAAATACGTAAAGATCAGTGCAAGACTGGTAACGCCCAAATCCCCCTTAAGCATCCCTAGTCCAGCACTTACCTCGTTTGTAATGTCGTATACCACTATAGCTGCTTGTGCTCCTCTGTAGTACATGGGTGCTAAACTGTGGTACCGCTCTTGCCCAGCTGTATCCCAAATTTCAAATTTTACCGTTGTATCATCCAGACATACAGTCTGGGTTAGAAAAGCAGCTACAAAAAAGACAGAGGTGCTGAAACCAGAAGTTTGCTTGTACCTCTATATTCATATATAGTTATGCTCACAGAGATGCAAAACATTTATAGCCTACTATTAACATACAACAGGTTTGATGCAATCATTATTTCCTATCTATTCAAACAAAATGCTGACAGCCTGACTCTGATCGTCAAAGAGGAGTTATTTAAACAACTGGACTTTCCTCAAGTTAGACATAAGAAAGCAAAAATTGGAAAGAATTCCCTTTTTCATTATAGTGAATCTGAGTAACCATAAGCCTTCTCTTAAAGCTTCTAGATATGGTCTGTTGAAGCAGGATGGATACTAGAGTACCAATAACAGCATCCCATCATGCTATAATCCAAAAGTTCAGATATTTTCAATTCTACATATTTGTATTACTTGATTTGCATCTTAAAACTGATTTTCAGCTCCTAACAACTTTGCCTTAGCTAACAGGTCTGGAATAAAGAGGCACTGCTTGTAACTTCCTATTCTCAAAGCAGCTATATTTTTGACTTTGCAAGTGATCTCAAGAATTAATTTCAGCACAATTTCAACAGCCTGCAGTTTCAGGAAAACTTGCAGCCATTGTTACTACGGCTGAATGCATTACCATAAATAATGGTCTTCCAGTTAGAGAAAATACTAACTCATTCCAAATTTTTAAACAGTTACTACTAGTAAAATTTTTCCATTCAGATTAAGGTACAATCAGAAGTATGGAGGTGAGTGCCCACACAGCATAGAAAACCATATTAAAAACTAAACGAAGGAAAGCCCACTACTTAGCTGAAGCAGGAGCTCTGATCACTAGGCACACAGATGGCCTGTGACCAATTTAAATCAAATGGCTGAAGAGACACTGATCTGTAACACTTGCATACCTGGGATTTCATCCTGTCCTACATACTTCTGAGACATCATAGTGTATGAATCATTCCAAAACTGCTCCAACCTTAACTCAACTCATTACAGAAACCAAAATGAAGCCAATCTTGCTCTGTAAAGGACATTGTAACTAGCATACAGAAGTGTCCCTGTCTCAGCTGTAAGCAGCAGCTGCATGGTACTTAGCTGCTGGCTGAGGTTAAACCGTGACCAGAAGCTGACTCTTAAGTGGTCAGGTGCTCCTGCTTCAGGGGTATTAGCATCCATCACAGATGAGCAGGCAGGCTGGAGAAGGTAAAAGCTTTGATGTTCCAATGTTAAATCAACATAAATCTCTCTAAATGCTACATATCCGAACACTAGAAAAACAGGCTCCACTTGGCAGCTCCCTAAGCAGCCCAGAACCGAAACAGAGTGGAAAAACACCATACTCTCTGCACTAAACTAAGGGGCTTTCTCACCAGAACCAGCTCAATATTGTCTTTCTCCAAGGCAGAGACAAGATGTTAAGCAAGCTGATTTTCAAGTTCTCGCAGACATTATTCTCTTAACAAGAAATGTACCTACTCTGCATAAATGAAGGTATGTACTAGGAAAGAGAATTAAACAAGAGGTCCATTCTTTGCAATCCTCTTGGTTTTGTCAAAAGTAACATTTCAACCACTTGAAAATGACAGTTAATTTCTGCAAAAAAGATAAATTTCTTCGACCTTCCCAAGGCCATAGTGAATTGACAATTAATCATCTGTTAATTATCTGAAAGTTTGTCATCTTTAACAGCCATACTTTTGTCTTAAGCAACTAACAGGCCTTGCTACACTAATCTGAAGTGGCAAAACCACACCACCACCATCCAACATGTCTGCCTTTCACTGCACTCCCTTTCAGATGTTTTTATCCAGATTCACAATGCACATAAGCCTCTCTTTGTTAAAAGGCCCTTCTGTATACAAAGAAAATTATGCCTTAGGCAACTACAAGCCACAGAGTTAGACAGCTTTCTCTATAGAAAACTTTTCTGAATCCCAACATTGCTGCACGTAACAGCTCTCAGCTGTATTATATAGCATTTCCTTGTTTCTATTTGATATAGAAGAGGCACAAGTTAATACAGATTACACTAAACTTTATATATATAAACTTGAACTTAGGCTCTTGTTTAACCTTTGTTTAGATTTTGATCAGTGTAACAGGGTTTGGGTTATTCCAAACACTAAAACAAGAAAAAAACTAAACAGAGGTTAAATGAATTTTGAGATCATTGAAATGGAACAACGAATTTTACTTAATTTTAACTGTTTTTCTAAACTAAAGACCTTGGTGATATTGGAAAGTTAATTCACAACCCATCTCTGAGAATGTTCTCTGTATTACCACACAGCTGTTTATCAGAGCATGCAGAAACTTTCATACCAACACCTATCCTCAAGCCACGATAAAATGCACAAAGCCAAAAGTATGCATTAGCAAGATTGCTAAAGTAGAAAATATGTGGTTGTCTATTTATGCTGACAGATAGAAAAAATAAACACATGTAACAGCTAGAAATAGGGCAAAAGAAGTATGCAATGAAATTCAGCTTCCATTTATTTTGTAAGCTTTCCAGCGTTTTTACATTTCAACAGCTGTTGGTGTGTGAAGACACATACAGACCACTGAAAGGCCTTCACATAAATATTACAATGGAACAGGCTGACTCATGCAAGCTGCAACAGCAGCTACTGGAGAGTATTTATCAATTCACAAAATCCAAACTTTGTAAAGTCTGTATGCTGTTAGGTAGTTTTAGGATACATTTACATCTATCTGAGGAGGAATACAGCTCAAAGCACAAATAACTCCAAAACACAATATAACTTAAGAAATCTGCCAAGGGAAAGAGTGTGATAAAAGCTGTTTAAAGCTAAACAGATTTTTTAAAAATTCTGGTAGCTAGCACCTGTTTTGTTTGAAGTCACAGAATGGAAAAACAGCACAATAAATTCTGTGATTGCTAACACAGAAATATATCCAGAAATGTAGCAAGTTCTCCAAAATCAAAGTCAGAATGCCTAAGTGACAAACACAAGCTTTATGGAAGATGCAATGCTCAGGTTTTTTTCATAGAAACTAAGCTCATAATTCTTACTAAGCAGTTATTTTATGCATTAAGCATGCAGCACAATTAAAAGAGCCACACACCCAATTACCAACAAAATGTAACATTTAGTCCAGGTTTCAAAACTATGCAGTTCAAGACACCTTTACTACCTCTGTTTGAAAAGGATGTTTGTGTTTAACTCAGACAGTTATAGTTCTCAATTGCTGACACAGGTTTGATCCTTGCTGTCAATGAGCCACTCTAGAAGTGCCATTACATTAAAGGCTTTCAAGGGCATGGATGATATAAACACATAACATGAAACAAATTAACAGGGTAATTTTCTCACCTCCAATTGTACTTTCTTGAAATTCATGAAACTGTCCTTTTACAAAACGAAGCACCAAACTTGATTTGCCAACTGCAGACTCTCCTAAAAGTACTAGTTTAAATTGGCAAATTTTATTTCCAGCATTTGGCCCGTTGGGCCTTGTCGCTCCTCGATTAGCCATGTCCAAATTAGAAAGCAGTCCTTTGTTTCAACAGCTTTTGAAAGCAAGTTCCACTGAGATCTGAATCCTGGTTCTTCTGCCAGTAACAACCTATTTTGTGAAAAGACAGTGGATACATTAGATTTACAAACCAAGTAAGACAAGTCTCATTCACTAATGCAATGTATTATGTATAACTTCACCTAGTATTTACCAAATTCAACAGTCCAGACTACAGGTACCATCATTTGTAAGTTGTCAACTATAGCCAGAATTATGATACATGAACCAGTTATCTTCTTCAACACCTAGTCTTCCCATCAAAGCTTCAAATTAGCACATTAAAATCCAATTATGCTGCTTTTTTCAAGACCTCAGTCTCCTGTTATTTCTTAACAAATCAGGACTGATGTATAAGACAACAGGTTTAGACTTTCAAATTGTCAGTAGAATAACAATGACAAGAATAACTTTTCATAATTATGCTATTGCTAACCAATATTTCAAAGTCAGCACTGCTCAAGGATGCTAAAAAACTGAGCAATTTGGGAAAACCCAACACCACAGCAGCTTCTTTGCAAGTGTAGCTCATCAATTCACTTCTATCCCACCTATCAAACACAATTTCCTTACATAAAAGTACAGATCTTCACACGCAAACCATTAATATCCTCTCTAATTAACAACTGTACTGAGAAGCAAAAGTGAAGCCTTCCATATGAAAACCAATTGACCAGTAAGAATTCCAGGCCACTTTGCACAAGCTACCAGACAACTACCATACAATGATAAATTTCTATTTCCAATAGTTATACGTGTCCTAGATCAGTATTAACAACAGAGATTTTGGTAAGAACAAGTATGAACAGTGTATCACTTAGTCTGCTTACTCTTCTTTCCAGCTGCTTAAAATAACCCCACCCACAGTACTTATTCATATTGAAAGGAAGGCCTTTAGACTCTGCTGGTACCACTTCTGACCCTAATATTTATGCTTTTACACACTTAACAGTAGATACAAAACAAAAGACCTCTAAAATTAGCTCATTATTTTGTCCTGCTCCAGCTGATCATTTATTTGAATTAAGCACACTTTGCAGGGATACAGCTTTTCTAACATCTAGCATGCGAGTTAGGTTAGAGTACATGCTCCTAATGCAAAAAAATGGCTTTAACTCATGTTGCAAAAAAGTAAGCAAACATATTACTTTCAAATTACTTCCTGTTCTTTATTCCTTGTGATAAAGCAACTACATTTTAAACCAAGCAGTATTCTTTAACCACCTTCCTGTTTCAAAAACAGATCAGGCACTTGAGCATTCCAGTTTGCTACAGGCCTAGCTCAGATGCTAAGCCTTCCTTCTCCTTCCTAGCTCTCCCCTTCCCTCAACCCAAGTCCTGAAGAACCTTCTTTCCTGGAAAGCATTCCAGCAGTCTAGCAGAACTCTACCCTTCAGTAAGATACTCCCTTTCAAGCTAATATTCAAGGAATAAATGAGAACAAAAATCTTAGCATTATTTACAGAAAAATGTAACAGCTGAAAAACAGGTAGTTTATTTCCAGTTGTAAACAGAATACAGGTTTTAAAAACTATTTTCAGCATCTTAGACACACTTTTATTTGCTCATGGTTCCTCCTTTTCTCGTCTCTCTCAAAATAATTTCCTTTCTTTGAGGTAGAATATAACGATTTTGCATTCTGTCCTGAGTTTGCGTTCCATTTCACTATTACATCACACTAAAAAATACATATTTTAAACATTTCAGTTAGGCAACATAATCTATCAAGCATTACCTTTTAGCTGTATATTCTTAGAAACATGTGAAAGTATTCCACAGTGAAAGAATGAAGCAAAAAAGCCCCTGCAAATCCTACCATCGTTCCTATTAACGACCACATTAATTCTATACTACAACTCTTATTCATTAAACTAATTTTGGTGAAGTATTTCAGAATACGGGAATAGATCCAGTTATTTTAAAAATATCAGACCTTTCATCCTTACACCATAAAACGATTTTGCACTACTAGTGCGTTGGCTCTCAGGCAAGACTCTTCCCCCCTCCATGATGTGGAAATATGCTTCAGAAGTTGTGGAGTGATTTGGATAAAAATGGATCAGTGACAACAGTTAATCTCTCCCTAACTGTACTACAATAGAGAATGCAGCAAGGCATAACCAAAATATAGGTGGTTCAGAATACTGTTAGCCATTTGTTTATCTTTTCCTTTGGAAAAATAATGAAGACAATTAAGTTATTTTTGTTTTAAAATGGAAAAAAACCCATCTGTTTGCTGTAGCATTCCAGTGTGTTTGGACAACCATGAAATAATTTAAAACCCTTTAATCTTAATATGTCCCATGTTTTTCCAGACTGCAGCATTCATAAAAACATAAGGACAACATCCAATGACTGTGTGACTTGGTACTCCTGGGAGCAAGTGACTTCCAGATGACACACAACACACAGTGAGGAAATCAAGTCACTGCACAGGTTACTCCCTATGACTGATTTTTTTGCTTGCTGTTTCCCATACTGAGAGCAAAATGAGGTATGAGAAAAGAACATTTAGCTTGCATAATATTTATCAATTTCACCTGAGCATTTATGGCTGGTAGTTATTTCAGATTTTTATCACTCATGAAACAGTAATTACTACCCCTGGCAAAACTACTTCAAAACTACAAAGCTGACACAGGTTGTCAAGAAAAATATCTAGTTTGATTTTTATTGATGCCCAAGCTACAGAAGCCGTAGTTATCAGAGACCCTCAAAGTTTACATTCTTACAGCATCCCTCCCCTGAAATCATTCTAGACAGTCAGATATCATGTACAAAGATAACCAGCTCTCAAGCTGATAGCAGACCACAGGACCTGATAGGAAGGCCATCTAAGAAACATACTGCAAACCTCATTCATTCAACAGTCACATCAATACATCTAATAAATTAATAATGAATCCTACTAGTCATACCACCCACTTTTCAACAGCTCAGGATAAAAAAATGCAAGACTGAAAACCTGATAGAGCACATCCAGATGATTGTGACATATTAAAAAAGTCACTAACACCTTCTATCAGCATATATGGAAATCATAATCTTTTGAAGTTTCAGATGATGCCAAAACTCTGTAGCTGAAGTTCACAACATGGCAGCAAACTTACACAAAAAACAAGAGAAGTACCTGCTTGATGTGAAGAGAAGCAGTACTGCAGTTTGACACAGCCACTGCAGAATGGTTTTGGCCTGGTATTTTCACATCTGTGAGCTGAGCACACAGTGCCTCACAAAGGTTCAGAAGTAGATTTCAATGCTACAGTCCCCCATGCACACTCCAAGTCTCAGGTCACATTAATTCTACTATTTCTTAATTCATCAGTAAAATACAACCCAGGAGGAATAGCACACTCAGTACCCTACACATACACTGCAAACTCAGCTCTGGTGAAAATTTCCTGAGGAAAAAATCCACTGATATGGCTCCTTTTCTCCTCCCCTTCTCATTTTGTATGCAATGTAATCAATATGTTTGGAATATGTAAAGAAAGAAAAGCTGGGTAAGACATTTTCATTCAGCTACATGAAGGCAAGTACACAACTGCTTGACTTGGAAGAAGCTCTTAAACCAATACATATGGGAGTTACAGAAGTGACCTACTAATATAAAAATCTGCTAAAGAAAATACTATAGAAATTTTGTGATGGATGGCTTCACATGGATGGAAATGAGGGAGATTTGCTTGCTTTTATCAAGTTTAACATAAAAACTCTACTTTGCAGTCTTGGGCAGTACAAATACATAGGTCACTCTGCTAAGTAGGAACTTTCTCTCTTCTCCTGAATATTCCCCCCATGACAGAGCGGATCCATGCTGAAGTGCCAGAACACAAAGCCTGGAGTATATTATTAGCCAAGTACTCCTGGAAATCCCACCAACTAATTTACTGGATGCTGGGTATTCTCACTCCAGAAGAGAAATTTGTATGCTGTTGGACAGTCTTGAGTTTTATTTATGAAAGGGTCCTAAGTATAACAGATCAAACACAAATCTTATTATGCTTGAGTCTGTGTACAAAATACCAATGGCCCCAGCCAATACCTACAAACTCTCAATTTAATGGCATAATTCAGACATGTAAGCATAAGCACTGGTCTATTTTCAACTACAATACAGCTAATACAGAGGTATCAAAGTAACACTGGTGACAAAAGCCAGCCTACTGAAGAGATTAAGACAGTGAGCACTGTTCCTACAATTAATGTGATTAAGTGTATTATCAAATAGAAAGGCCACACAAAAAAATTCACGATAAATTTAAAACTGGAACATTCCACCACTTTTATATCTCACAGCAAACAACACTGTTTCTTACTAAAACTTTTGTATGCTGCATTAACGGACACAAAGCATACAATGCTGAGGCTACAACTATTATCTACTTTAAATTTCTTCATATTGGACTTTTTGGAACGTTTTAAAAGGCAGTAACTACAAAGGCTTATATATTAGCCACTCCTACTAACTGAAGTTTCCTTCCAAGTTCAGCAGAATTAGTGTGGCACCTTACTGCAGTGTTCAAGACAGTGACAGTCAAGACAGAGATAACCAGCAAAATGATCATCATATGTAAGCCATACTGAAACATAATGGGACTATAAGTTAAACAAGTGAATCAACACAGTTGCTGCAAAAAAATCATAGCCCTACAATTAAAGGTAATAGCCATCTCATAAGCTCATCTGAATGATGAATGGTACCAATTACTTTCAGATAAACTGGTTTATCATACAGGAAATGTAAGTGACGACTACAATACCATTGTCTCTAGCCACCATCTACCTTTTCCTGACATTTCCCATTATGGAAGAACAATACCTACATGCAATCTGTAGGTAAGCATGACTGTAACTCTGAAGAGACACTACAAAACTGGAAAAAAATAAAAAATCCATGATTTTTACTTTGCCTGAACGTTACATGAAAGAAACTGATTAATTTCTGCTGCTTAAACAGCTATTTAGCCTCTCATTGCCACCTCCAAGCTCTGAAAGAGGTGTAACGTAGGAAAATAACATACTAAAAATGCCGAGAGAACAGGCTTTCATGGCCCTGCTTGGAACATTTTGATAGATCTTACGCAATTCAGCTCTCCTCTAAAGCATAAAAAGCTTAGGTTTGTTCCTCCACCCTACCCCAGCTTTGTGTCTAGTTCCAATTCCGTGCGATGCAGAAGATATCCAGCATACTAGGCCTGTCGCGATCCCCCCGATGGCGACGCATTGTCGGGAGCAATTTACTTCCCACCTAGTTCACGGTCCTTCTTCCAGACGCAAGCGAAAGGGAAAGCGAGGGACCCATCACGCAGCCTCCCCTTCCATATCTCACAAGCACCTCGAGGGGCACAGCCCTCCCGGCCGGCCCCAGGCAGCGATACCGCTCTGCAGGAGCGCCCGCACGCAGGGGAGGATCCCCGCTCTCCCGGGCCCAGCCCCTCCAACCCCCGCCGCCACCTCCCCTCCCCCGCGGCTCCCTTCCAGGCACAGGAATAAGGGGAAGTGGGAAAACCGGGGGCGCCATTTTGAGCCGGGAAGGGAGAGAGCAGCGTCCCCTCCCCGCACGCCGGGCTGCCCACCTCGGCCGCCCGTACCGCGGCACGACGCTCCCGCGGCGCCGGGGGAACGGCCGCCGCCAGGAGCCCGGACAAGGCGCGTCCCGCCGCCGCCGGGACCCCCCCGCGCCGCCACCGCCTCCTCACCTGGCCGGGGTGGGGGAGCCGGGGCGGCGCCGCAGCGATGTCCGTCCGTCGGTCGGGGCTGGCGGGCTCGCCGGGGCAGGGTGGGCGGAGGAGGGGTAAGAGGGGAGGCGGCTCCTCGGTGGGGGCGAGGGGCGGGGGCGCAGCCGTGCCTCACCCAGCCCCGCCGCCGACTTCCGCCGCCGCCTCTGCCCCGACCAAAACACACTCACACACACACACAACACGCACTTCCGCCGCCGCCACGTCACGCCCGCACGCGCCGTGCCCTTCCGGTTCGCCCGCGCCAGTCGTCACGTGGCTCCCTTTCTTTCCCACCTTTTCCCCTCCTTCTTTTGTTCCTGCTCCCTCCCCTCCCTCCCGGCCGCTCCCACCGCGGCCGAGCCACTCTCGGCTGTAGGGTGTTCCCTGTCTCCCGCTTCTCCCCTGCGCCCGGGGAAAGAGTCCCTGCGAGCGACCCGCGCGTCTTCCATCTTCCAGTTAGGGTGGGGATGGTGAGGCACTGGAATGGGTTGCTCAGAGAAATTCCGGATGCCCCATCCCTTTCAGTGTTCAAGGCCAGGCTGGGTGGGGCTCCGAGCAACCTGCTGTAGTAGGAGGTGTCCCTGCTCAAGGCAGGGGAGTTGGGAGTGGATGATCTTTAAGGTCCCTCCCACCCTAAACTATTCCGTGATTCTCTGCTAATCCTCTAGGGACTGCATTGCAGCCTGAGGAGGCCTCTGAGGAGCCAGGGGTGGGAGCTGGGCATTGAACACGCAGACAAGTCATGGTTTAATCCTTTAAAAGAACCAGTTTCAAAGGTATTAGTCAAATGAGTTGAAAGGAGGAACTACATGGGAAAACCTGAGTTGCCATCGGGAATTTGCCTTTTTTGAACAGCCACTGATAAAGCCCAGAACAAGTCTCGCTTGCTTCATAGCACAAAGCATGACCTTGCGAGAGAGCAGGATAAAGGCCAGTTTGCCACAGGCTGTAAGTGGGTTGCAGCGGAAACAGAACAATCATGATAAGTGTTTCTTCAGTATAGCATCTTTAACAAGGTCTAAGAGTTGGCGTTTGAAAGAAAGAAACAAGTAAACTGGTAAGACATTTAGTAAGTGTATCAATAATGGTATTTAGTAATTGGTACAATGTAATGAAGATTGTTTGGATACTCCATCACAGGAAATAATCAAGTTGATTCAGTTGCATTCTCAGAATACATTTTTTATTTCAACCACATATATTTAAACGAAGCAAAAATCAAGTTATATAAAGCCTGTGGTCAGTGTTATGCTACTTTCCCCTTCCTTAGTATGGTATATCAATATTTGTACATAATGAAGTGAATGGAGTGAAAAAATATTGGTTTATTAATCTTCATCAGTTCTTCTTTTCCATACACTTTTCCATTGGTACTAGTTTGCTCTCAGAGTAACAATTTCCCCTTTCTTCTTTATTAAGTTGAAGTTAATCACTTACATAAGTGCTTTGTGAAAGGCCGATATGTAACTTCAAAAAAAGGAAAATAGTCTTTGCATTCACCAGTGATGTAGAATGCCACACTAGCTCCAGAGAAACATGTTTGTGTAAGTAAAGTATACAAACTTCTTTGAGCTGTGAGTTTTCCAATTGTAAGAGTTGTCCTTTAAATCATGTAATCCTGCCCTAATACACTGCTTATTTGCCATAACCCTCTGACTGGTCTCAATACGTTCAACTGGATTGCAGGATTTGCTGAGCAAACAGCAGATTCCTGATAACCAAATGTGTTTTACTGCACACCTGACAGGCATGCATTGGAGCACCAGACAATAACCAGTCAACCTGGCTGCTGCTCACTCACTCACTCACTCACTCACCTCCCTGCAGCAAGACAGAGAACACAACAGAAAGAACAAAAGTAGGAGAAGTTGTGGGTTAAGATAAAGACAGTGTAATAGATGAAGGAAAGTGGAAGTGAAAAGGCAATACAGAGGAAATCATTAGCTACCTCCCATAAACAGGCTGGTGTCAGCCAGTCTCCAAGCAGCAGCCAACTTGCAAGACATCTCCTTTGTCTACCTCCATTTTCTATTGCTGAGCATAATGCTGTGTGAGATGGAATATCCCTTTGAACAGTTTGGGTCCGCTGTCCTGGCTGTATTCCACTCCCATCTTTCTGGACCATCAGCAGCATTTCTCCCTAGGTGGGGCTGATGACAAAGTGGGGAAAAAAAGAAAGTCCTCACCCTGTGCAAGCACTGTTCAGCAGTAGCTGAAGTATTGCTGTGTTATCAACAGTAGTTTAATCACAAATCCATAACACAGCACCATTCAGGCTGCTATGAAGAAAATTAACTCCACCTCAGTAAGACACAGTACACAGATGAAAAGCTTTTGTGGAAAAATATTACGCCAAATCTTTAGAATTTACACACTTTAGAATTACTTGAACCAAATTCAATTTAGAAATTTAACACGTCATGCATGACATTTCATGTTTCACTTAATCTTATGTAATAAAGAACCATACTATTCCATATGTAAGGATCATTATCTATGCTTCTGATATAAATAAATACTTCATAAAATGGAAATAATCTTTCAGATTATCGGATGTACCTGAAGTTCAAGGCTAAATGGAATTTTTGGTGCAGAAATTCTATTCACATTGTATAGTTGGTGTTAGGAAGCCTGTTTTACATGCAGGAGGTTCCTGCTGGCTAACTTAACTCTCTGAGTGCAAGGCAGAGCTGCAGCACATCTCTCTCGCTTTGTGAAATGCCCAAATTGTTCACAGCTGGTCGACGCTGACAAAGTGGGACAGCAAACACTGAGGGTTCGCTGTGAATGTGTGAAATAGAGGCACAAGAGAATGTGGCAGTAATCAAATGACCTTGTATTTACTGGTTTTCTGTATTTCAGGCTTGACAGGTCTCTGTGAGTCCTAGTGGTGAAGACAAGTTTCTTCTGTTGTAGTCTGCACAAAAAGATGTTGAAGGAAAGCTCTGAAATCACACAGATAGCCCCTACCAGTGGTCTTGTTTTCATATTTTATTTTTCATGGTTCATAAATCATATACCAAAAGTGAAACTGCTGGGTGATATTAACAAATTTATGTTAGTGGGTCATGGTTTCACCAGGTGGCATTCCATCTATTTTAGCATGTCTCTGTAGAGTTTTAATATTATGTTCTGCTCAGCCTTTTTGTGTTTAAATCTAATGCTAGATGTGTAATAATAAGTTGAACTTGACTTTAGAGAATGTGCAGAATCTCTTTATCGTGTTTGAACTTCCCAATTTTTTTTTTTTTTTTTTTTTTTTTTTTTTTTTTTTTGCTATAACATTCTTTTTTTCTGTCTCCTATCTCTACTTGTGTACATTTTCTCTGTACCTACATTGGCTTGGTTGTACCATAACATACAGAAAGTGTGCAGTGCATAGAAAACAGTAATTTCCTATCCATAAATGAACTGAATAAAAACCTATGAAAGCAACCAGGCAGTAACAGCAAAGTGCATCAGCATGGTGATGCAATTAAGACATTTCACAACATTCTGAGTGTTTTACACAAAGTTCTCTAGCCTCCACAGACCTTCAGGAATATACAAACTTAGTGCTTTGACTCCAGTCTGTGCCAGCACCATAGTCAGAGTGAGAGCTGTGTTGCAGAAGATGGGCTGCTTGTGCTTCATAAAGAAAGTAAAATGCAGGGTTTTGGACAGTTTCCATTCCTTTTTAGCCTAAGTGAGACAGAAAAAGGCATTAGGTTGTGGGAATTGGATGTGAAATGTCAAGTACTGTTGAGGAAAATAAGCGCTGCTGTGGAATGGAAAATTTTCAACTTTTTCCAAATAGTTTTCTCTAGAGATTCTACTTTTGACATAGGAGATGACAAATTCATGCTGAAGTAAAGAAAGTTTTAATCTTTTTTTCCCTAAAGTTGAGTTCAATTAGTTTTTGTTAATTCATCATCTTTAAAATTACAGGTCCTTCCCACTCCACAAATACTCCTTCTGTGGCCAAAATAACTTTCAGTATAAGAAAGAATGGATGTAACACTGGTTCCAGAATGAGAGGAATTATAGGAAAGTAGGTTTCAAATTGATTTATAGGGACCCACGTTTTTGCAAAAAAAAGGAAAGAAGCACAGAGAGGCAAAAAAACGAAAGGACTTCTGCTCTACTTGTTTCTGCAATAGGCACTCTTCTTACATGTCCAAGTCCTATTTTTATGCCTTTGACACAACCCACTCCATCGGGGCTGAGTGGATGGTTTCAATTAGCAAGTGTGGCCACCTACTGGGGAAAAATAAATCAGTAATGCACAGAAGGTATAAAAATGATACCACCTTAAGCACAGGTAGAGAGCCATCTAGAAATACAACAAACATTAGGACAAAAATTCCATTTCCTGAATTTTATCCTGGGATAAAAAAACCCCAGTTTCCTGTGCCATATTATTACCATCTAATTTTTACATTACTGTACTTTGCTCTTCCTCTCTATAAATAGTTCTCCCTTCTGACAACTTTACTAGATAGAAATTTAACCTTACAGATTAATGGATCACAAGGCAAGACACAACCAATCATTTTATTTATTAAACTACCAAAAATATTGTTTTGTTTTGCAGGAAAACTCTAAACTTCAAGCAACAACAAATATGATTGAAATACGAAAAGAACTGAACACACTAAGA